GACTCCGGAACCCATTTTCCTTTTATTATGTCTTTCTGCCTTCATCTAAATATATAAACCACTGCATTAGGGACAGACTTTCAAAATAACAAACATTTTGCTGGTTTTCAAGAAGCTATTAGCAGCTGCACAAAACACCAAGTCTGGCAAGCTTGGCAAAAGAGCAGACAGATGCAGGGCCAAGGCATTTCATAACCAAAATCCCCAGTAGGCTAATCCCTGAACTTGACCTTACTAGTCATAAAGCTTCCCAGTTGTTTTGTTCAATTTATGCCAAGTTATACTTGCTTTACCACACATCTATCTGTATGTTCATCCCTCTATCCCTTCGCAATCTGTATTTTTTTTCTGAAGTTGCAGACATCAGGACACTTTACACCTAAACAGTTCAGCATGCTTATCTTTGAGTGGAGTTCAATATTTGCCTATGGTTCTTTTTTTTAAATTTCATTTATTTATTATGCCTCAATTGAAAGGGTTGAAAAGGATAAAGGAGAGGATATACAATATGTAAAAGAAAAGTGCTTATAACTTAATTTAAAGTCATCTTAACATCATCTTCTGTGTGAAACATGCTTTAAAACATCTTAATACAAAATTAAGGAATAAGTGTTTTGTAATATACTGAAAATCTCTCTGACTACAATTTTCTCTTTCTTTCTTTACACTTAAGTAATACTTTCCAGGTACATGTTGCAAAAGCTTCGGGACAAACTTTGAACTCATCTGTACTTTCCTTTATGAAATATCACTGCCTATGGTTCTTTTATAAAAAATGAAATTTGCATATAATCCAATGCACAAATCTCAAGTGTACCATTCAATAAGTTTTGCCAAATGTGTACACCCAGGTAACTCAAACTTTTATCTAGATATGGAATACTACCCTCACACTAGAAAGTTCCCTCTCATGTCCCTTCCCAGTCGATACTCTCTCCACCACTGTTCTAATATTTATCACTATGGATTAGTTTTATCTGTTCTAGAACTTCATATAAATGGAGTCATACAGTATTTACTCTTTTGTATAAGGATCTTCTCACTCAAGATTATGTGTTTGAGATTTATCAGTATTGTTCTGTACATAAGGAGTTTACTCCTTTTAATTATTGAGTATTATCCTATTGTAGAAATATTCTAGTTGCTTTTCTTTTTAATTGAAGTATAGTTATGTACGATATTCTAGTTTCTTTATCCACTTTCCTCTTGACAGACACCCAGGCTATTTCTAGTTTTTAGTTATTCTAAATAAAACTACTATGAACACTCTTAAAAAGATCTTTTTATGAACAGATTTTCATTTCTCTTGGATAAATACCTGGAAGTGGAATTGCCAGGTCATAGGGAGGTATATGTTTAGTTTTATAAGAAACTTCCAGAACTTTTTTCAAAGGCGTTGTACCATTTTAACTCCTACCGACAATGTACGAGATGTTGTTCCATATCATCATCATTTGGCATTGTCAGTCTTTTTAATTTTAGTCATTCTGGTGGGTGTTCATCATATTACTTTTGAATTACAAAATAAGAATATTCACATTATGGGCTTCCCTGGTGGCGCAGTGGTTGAGAGTGCGCCTGCCGATGCAGGGGACACGGTTTCGTGCCCCGGTCCGGGAAGATCCCACGCGCTGCGGAGTGGCTGGGCCCGTGAGCCATGGCCGCTGAGCCTGAGCGTCCGGAGCCTGTGCTCCGCAACGGGAGAGGCCACAACGGTGAGAAACCCGCATACCACAAAAAAAAAAAAAAGAATATTCACATTAGAGAGCATTTCCATTATCAAGGGGTGACTTAGGCAATGTCTGTGTCCTTGTCCCCCTATTACTACACCAGTGCAGGTCTCTTAAGTCCTAATATTAAGACATTAAATCCTGTTTCTCATCCTTAAAGAGTTGATTGAAAGATTCATAACTTGGCAGTTATTTTAAACGTTTTTGGATTCAACTTGAGCTCTAAATCACTGAAATATTGTCGAAGTTAATTTTTAGGGTGTTTTTCTATTAATACTTAGGCTTTCAAATGAATCAAAATGATCAGGTTAGCTTCTGACTTCTGCTTAATAGAAAAATAAATAAATAATCACACCTAAGTCACTAACCTATGAAATTTCTTTCACTGAATTAAATGAGCATCCCCTCAGGGTGACTCTCATGGACCTCAACTGGATCAATAAGAGTAAATCATTTTAGACTAAGCATCAGTCACACATGGTAAAGTTACCTCCAAGTTAAGTTGCTTCCATCCCTGGGGTAAGTATGTAGGCCTAATTTTGTTTCAATGTGAAATCTCCCCTAGGCCTGGTAACTTATCCCTAGGAAGTTTCAAGTTTCCACATTGTTGTTTTCTTGACTTTTCCTCCATTCTCCAGGCTCTGACTCTTGTTCACTTGTTACAAAAATAACCTAAATGCTCTTAATTCTTCTCAAAAATGTATTTCAGCCCACTGATCATATTAGACGTATTATAACCCATTCAGCAATTTTTCTTTTAATGAACTTTTAGTAATCAGTAGCAGTAATACAGCTTAAAGCTCTTAAAGTGGGAGAAATAAATTGTACAAGACCTGAGGCTAATGTAGCCTAGTCAAGGCATTGGGAAACACTGACACAAAAGATAACTTGCCCGTTGCTCTTTGACTAGTTTCTTTCTTTCTCTATACTTCAATTTTCCAAGATGTTAAAGGATAATATATGAGCATATGTAAGAATTTTTTAACCAGAAAATTTACAACGCAGCTTTAGCATCAATTAATTTTTGTTAGGCTGATTTGGCAGCATCCATTCAGTTTCCTCCCATAACATGTAAGAAGGGCAAAATGGTTCCACAGTTTAGAGAATCTCCGTTGGTTACAGAGGCATTAAGAAGCTGGCACCCAAGGAAATGACAGGAGTTAGGCATTTTAATCTCTGTTCTGACATGCCTTTTTTTCAAAAGCACTTAATACATTGCTTTGTCTCTCACAGTCCAGCTGTAAAATAATATATTGGCTCTAAAGATTTGTTAATACAGTAATCATTTGTTTAAATTATATAAAATGTCATATATATATATGAAGTTTGCATATTTTTGGAACTAGGCCACAAAACACATATTTTGTACTTCTGAAAATAAGAATACTCCATGGTTTGGAATGATACTGTACTGGCTAATTGCCCCATTCATCAAATGTACAATACATACCACAGACTCTTTATAGTTTTTTTTTTAATCTGCATATGAACCACTAGGGCCAATGTTATGCCTAGGTGAAAATAAGCAGCTATGATGGAAATGATGACGCAGCACGGAAAAGACCTGCCTGCTTTAAAATATTTTCCCTCTAGCCTGTCTTTGGGACATTCCCTTCAGATTTTTCTATCAAAATCAATGTTAGCAGGTAATATACCAGGATCACTTTTTATTATGTGAACCACTGATGCCCATTATTCCTTCAGAGTCTGGCAGGGCCATGAGGAGAGGGGAGGGGACAGACGCAGAGACATTTTGAAAGGCTGAAGATGATATGAAATAATGAGGCGTTGTGTGTGTGTGGCAGAGGGATGGGGGAGAACTCCAGCGAGCAGGAGGATAGCTTGAGGGTGGAAAGCACCTGGGGGAAGAAGCTCTGCAAGAAAATCTGGGACTTCCGCCAAAGATATACTTGATTCCAGTGTTGGCCTAGGGCTGGACCCATGAGACACAGATAAGAAAGTAATATAGGCTCTTATTTTTCAGATAAAGCCAAATTTTGCATATAAGCTCTTTTGAGGTCCTTTGTTCTGACACAGGAAAGACATAGAATAACTTTGCAGGCATCATTCATACTCAGAGAAAGAATTCTGCATTTTCCTGTGTTATATAAGCCATATTGTTGAATAATGCTGGCTCATCTACTAAATAAGTATTCAAAATGTAAACTTATTATCATTGTAAAGTGCTATGTAAATACAAATTCTTTATAGTGTGATTCCAGAACTTAAATAAAAATGAAGCCACCATCTTTTTTCTGATAATAGCGCCTGACATTTTGCCACTGACCACTTTACAAAAGAATCAAATCCAAATGCTGCATTGTTTAGTCAGATTTCATTGCATTTTAAATGAATGGAGATAAAAATAAAGATAACACATTAGGACATTTGACAGAGTTCCCTTTTAGACTTCTTTCATTTCTAATCTATCTCTAAATTGTATCCCTTTGGTTTAGTTTGCTTTATTCAATACATGCTATTTTACCTGCATATAAAATATTGTTCTATCAACAACTAATTCCTCTCCTCTTAAAAAGTGATCACTCCATGTTTTATCATATTCACATTTGTTTGCTTTACCACAGTTAATAGAGAAAGGCTCAAGTACTTTATAATAAATTTTAGAGCATAAATTCAGTATTTATTTAGGCTTAGATTGTTAAGCAAAATTATTAGAATTTTATTACTTTTCTTTTTTCATAAATTTTTCATTTTTTCACTAAAAACACTTAGCCTTTGAAAAATTAACCATAGCAAACAATAAAGGATGTCCTTTAGACTGAGACAAAAGACTGATAAAAATAATTTGTATCTTGGCTCTCTAACCATATTATGCTAGGGCCTTAATATTAAAGAGCTATCTTCTAACTGGTAACTGAATAGCTCTTCATTAGTTTCTCTAAAAATAAGAGTTTTTAATCTCTTCTTGCAAGCTAGGATAGTCTTATGGTTTAAATGTATTTTGGGAGTTTGTTCCAACAGTTAAATTGAAAATGTCTGATATTTTCAATTACTTAAAACATTTATGATTTTAAGCTCCTAGCAGAAATCTGCTGCTGAAGGGGAAAAATATTAAGAGCTGTTATTCAGAAAGACACTTATGTAAGAACTGTGACCTTGGTTATTGGTTTGAAAGCAAGAAGTCCTATATTTTAGACCCAGGGCTTTAGAAATCTTTAGTGGGCATTTTCCCCTCTCAGAGCCGAGACAAATGGCTGATGAGCGAAATCTTGAGAATGTTCACAGCTTTTCTCTTTCATTCTGTTGCAGCCCAGAAGGTGGTGAGATCCATCCAGAAATCTGTCGGCTCTACATTCAGCTGCAATGCTGCTTAGAAATGTACACAACAGAGATGCTAAAATCCATATGTCTGCTGGGGTCTCTTCAATTTCATCGAAAAGGTATCTTCATTTAATATATTGCCATAAACACTGAGAAATGTTAAACAAAACCTCATCTTTTGCAAAGGCCTATATGTACCATTTGTCTATCTACACACAATTGGAATGGATATAAATGTTCAGGAAATGTTTGATATAAATGAATAAAAGAAGTCTATATCAGTACTATCAAAGTACATAAGAACATTGACCATCTTGAATAGAAATTGTGGTAGAAACAATTCTCAAATTTATTATTTTACCACTTGTGAACATGACTTTGGCTAGAATCAGCATGGGCAGCCAAATTATATAATGATCTTACTAGGGTAGAAAATGCTATCCAAGATTGCTGCTACTTCCCTAAATGTATTTGGTTGCAAGATGACAAATTATAAGTTGTGTCCCAAAGATTTAAAAATAGGAGGAACTCAACAAACAAAATCTCATTCCCTGGTTTAAGCTATAAAGAGACTATATTGGCTTAAATGAATGAAACCTCTAGAGGCAGCAGTGGCTTCAGCATGGCTTGATCAGACTTCTGACTCCCATTTTGAGTGATGTTCTGCCTTCTGGTGGGGGGAGTTGACTTTACCCTCACGCTGCCCTTCCCACACATTTGCAAACTGATTCCAACAGTTTCAGTCATCACATATGCATACAGAGAGAATTTCTCCCATTATAGACTAGCAAATGTCCTGAGCTTCGTTCCAACTGGACCAGGTCAGACCACATGTCTACACTTGAACCAATCACGGTAGCCAAGGGGATGGAATTAAACTGATTGGTTTAGGCAATCAAGGCCCATTCCTGGAGCTAGGAGATGAGTCAACCCCACCCAACCAGTGGCTACTGCATAAAGGGACAGGGTGGAATGGAATGGATGCTGGGGAGGAAGCCAAAAGTTTCTGTCACTGGAGGATTCAATCTATATTTTCTTTGCTAATTCATTGAACAATAATTTTTGGGAGCCTCCTGAATGCAAACATTTTGTGCTTGAGATCAAGAAATAGAGGGATGAACAGAAGGTATCCTTTGTCTATGATTTAAATTCAGAGATAGAAAAGGTCAGTAAACTGTAATAATCAGGGAAAATCTTTTAGAAAGCGTGGGACTTGAGCTAGGTTGTGAGGATAGGGTTCAGACAGTGAAGGAAAAAGAAAGACCCTTCAGGTGAAGAAGCAGCTAAAGAAGAGATATGAAATCAAATGAGCATGCAATTTGAGAGGAACTAGATGACATGATAAAGTACCTGTAAAAATCAAATCTTGCATACACATGTATGCACAAGTCAGAACTAAAAGTAAGATTATGCTACGCTGCTCCAAAGAGAGATTATTTTCTCGATACATGAATATTATCTTTTTCTTTTTCCTTCTAAAGGCTGAATTTTCATGAGTTTCCACCTTTACTTCATGTTTGGAGAGATTATCCCCTTGACACTAAAGAGTCCTGATCAGAAAAGTGAATACTCAGACACACTGATGACCCAAACAGTTGTCACTGGCCCAATGTCTTTGTTTGTCCTCTCTGTTCTCATACACTGCCACCATCACCCCCCCACACACACATGCATTCACATATGAACACACACACAGAGTAGTATTTGCATTCTTTCTAATCATGGTTGACTAGACTGGGTATGGGTCATTTTTTTCCCCAGGTCTGCATTGGCTGTGCTTGCAGTATTTCATGCCCGTGTTGCCCCGAAATCTCCCCTGATGATTGTCCGTAACACCATGTGACCCCCACTCCCTGTCTCACTCTAACTCCTTGGTTTTTCACCTGGTCTCCCTACCATCCACTCCTACTTTCTGTCTTTTCACAAATGACTTTTGAAAGGAAGACCCTTCTCTGCTAGCTCTCTGCTTAAAGGTAACAGGGATTCCCTCATCCAGGTTCTTCCTTATCGTATTTGGTCTTGACCACACAAATAAAAAACACATCATCTCTTAACTGATCAGCTCATGTGGTCTGCACTGCCTCCTATCTTCACTGTCCGTCTCTGATCCCTGTCCTTCCGTGCCTCTTCCTTTAAAAATAATAAACCTCTGCTCCCTGCTCTAGCACCTAACACTCTAAGTATGACTCTAAAACGAATATACCTGATGGAATCTTTGATTTCTCCCCATTGTAATTAAGTCTCCAGATGGATTTCTATTTGATTCTTCTAAAATCATTACTACTTAAAGTGCAAATCCTTAGAAAATGCGCTTCAAAATTATCCAGGGTGCTGGATAAACATGGAGACTCATGAATCCTGTCCAGGACCCACTGAATCAGAATCTGGGGGCACTCCAGGTGACTCTGAAACACAGTAAAGATGGATAACTGTTTTGCTACCTTTGAAACAAAAGGAAATCACCCCATCATATGTATAAAAATGGAAACTTTCAAGCCCTTACCTGGCTATTCTTACTCACCTAAGTACATACTTTCAACTTTGTTGTATGCTTTATTCTTTATCACCACTAGACAGAAGCCTGTCTACCAAGAATTAAGATGCCAGATAATATACTCTTTATCCAAACAGTGGTATCTCTAGTGTGGCCTTGGGCTGGAAGGGGTCCTGTCTAGATGAACTCACTCAGTCCCTTCAAGAAATCAAATAGAGTTGGCCCTCACAGATTCAACCAATCGCAGATCACGTACTATGCTTACAATCTATGGCTGTTTGAATCTACAGATATGGAACCACGGATACAGAGGGCCAACTATGGGACTTGAGCCATGGATTTTGGTGTCCATGGCAAGTCCTAGAACCAACCCCCCATTCTCCCACACACACATACAGATACTGAGGGATGAGTTTCGTCCTCAGAGTCTTAGGGGAATGGTGATTCCCATTCTAGTCTATAACACTCGAAATCTCTTTCTGCTTAGAATCTCTTTCTGGTATGTTTCTTTTAATGCTATGGTAAAAATTCGTATTTTGATAAGTTTTAGGTTAGCTAATTTTTTCTCCATCCTAATTTCTTATTACAGCTTGGCCAATTCTTCTTTACTCTTTGTCTTCTATCAAGGAAAAACAGGAATTGTAATTGAGTCATTATTTGGGCTCTATATGAGAGTCTCTGGTCAATTTTTTGTTGTGATTAGATTCTGAAGCCAAATTGTTTTCCAATTCTCTGTACTTTTACTTTTTTAATTTATTTATTTAATTTATTTATTTTTGGCTGCGTTGGGTCTTCACTGCTGCATGTGGGCTTTCTCTAGATGCAGCGAGCGGGCACTACTCTTCGTTATGGTGCACAGGCTTCTCATTGCAGTGGCTTCTCTTGTTGTGGAGCACGGGCTCTAGGCACATGGGCTTCAGTAGTTGTGGCGCACGGGCTCAATAGTTGTGGCACGCAGCCTCTAGAACGTGCAGGCTCAGTAGTTGTGGTGCATGGGCTTACTTGCTCCGTGGCATGTGGGATCTCCCCAAACCAGGGCTTCAACCTGTGTCCCCTGCATTGGCAGGCAGATTCTTAACCACTGCACCACCCGGGAAGCCCCTTAATTTATTTTTATTTCTAATTACCTCCCTGACTGCCACCATAAGTCCAGAAAGTATTGAATATCACATTTAATTTTACTATTGTATTGAGTAGTCATGTTTTTACTCTTTGAAGAAAAAGGTCACACAAGGTTACCGCAGGGGCAAGGAGTATGGTTTGTTTCTGGGAAAAATAAGCCTGAAATCATTTTAAATCTCATTTTCTGCAGAAAGCTTGAATTTAATAATGAAGATTGTCCTTCTCTCCCAATTAAGCAAATTATAAATATCCTTTGTCCTTAACAACATCTTCAGTGGACCTTCATGATTTTTGCATGCACCATGTTTCTGAATTTTTGCTGTCTCATAAGTCTGATTGGTACAATCTACTTGGAAATCTTTTATACTTTATAAGATCATGCTATTGCCAAAAAAATGAAGACAAACAGTACTAAGATGATTGTCTTATTTCATGGCCAAGAAAGTTAAAGTAAATTATGGTAATATAAGATAAAAACCCACATTTAATAAAGGCTATTGGATTATACCATGCAGAGTGTGGTTCTGAAAACCTGTGGAGAAGATGACAGATGGGAATAATTTCAGGCATTGTGTAATCTCATATTTTAACACTTAAAGTTTTAGCTTGGGCCATTACTTGACAAAGTCTAATTTCTATGTTTATAGTGAAAAATAGTTTCTCTCACTTCTTCACAGTTAATTAGGTAGGAAGTCTTTCCCCACAACTGAATCCATGTATCATATTGACCATTATTGCTTGTTTCCTGACACCAGATAAAATGTGACCACGGGTTTCATTCACTCTATTGACAGAAAGTGAAGCCAGATTTCTAAGAGAATTGATGATCCTGCCGTTTGGACCACAGCTTTCCTCTCTCCCATTCTCCCCACAGTCAGTCAGTTTTGACAACCTTCCCATTCTGAAAGCAGCAGAGAAGAGAGAGCACTCCAGTGCAGCCCCCCTTCACATGTGAACTTGCTCCTTCATCTTTATTTTCATCTCTCCTTGCTCTCTCAAGGGTCTTCTCTGACTCTGCTCCACTCTTCTGCCATCACTTACAGCCAGATTGTCCCCAGGTCCTTTGAGGTATACGATTATCCCTTCCTCCCCCTAAGATAAGATGGGTTCTTCCCCTGCAATGTGCCACCAGGATACATAAAGAGAGAAAAAATGTGGAGGAAATGTAGTCACAAAAGGGGAAAGAAGAGAGAAATGTCAAACTCTAGTGGGAGTTGAGAGCTCAAGATGCTCTCATAAGAAATTAATGAACCGCCATCCATCCAGCAAAATACAGGATAAACTTAAGACAAAGAATAGAATATGAGCAGTAAAGACTCCAGGGTATTCAGCCTCCTATTAAGAAATGTAAAGAAAATGACCCACCAATAAAAGAAACAAGCAATGCAGAGACAGAAATAGAATAAAACCACAAGTAAAGCCTTATTTTCCAATGTAATGAGGCAATTGATACTAAAATAGAACATTAGGTTTGAAGAAATGAAGCAGAATAAATCTTAAAAT